GCAGCCTCCCCGTGCCCTCCCCGTCGCCCCCATCGCGCGGTCCTCTCCTCCTCCCCCCACGCCCTCTTTCGCTTCCCCCTCCCCCTATTTCCCTCTGCAGTCCCGCTCCAGACCTCTCATGCTAAGCCAACATTTTCCCCACGGTTTCTTTCCATGCCCACGACTTCTGTTTTACCCCTGGACCCCTGGGCCCGCTTTGCGTGTATTCCCTCCCCCCTGTTCTTTCTGTACAGTATCGATTGTCTTGGAAATTAGTTATTATTGGGCAACAGATATCACGCCCCTCCCCTCCCCCTTCAGATGCAAGCTGCACTTCTCTCTCTCCCCTTTTACCCGCCCCCCATCCTTCCGTTCCCCTGGGAGTTATGGGTTTTGGGGTGGAGATGGGCTTCCCCACTTGCATCTTGGTGTTACAATTGTTTGGAAGTGTGAATGAGTCCAAAGGTGGATCCCAAGGCTCATGGCCTTCTGTCCCTGGCTCTGAGCCTCGTGTGTGTGTGTGTGTGTGTGTGTGTGTGTGTGTGTGTGTACAGGGGTGGGGGGTCAGATAAGCTGGGAGGAATTTGAACATAACAAGCCTTTTTTTTGAGACCATTGGTTCTTTTTGTTTGTAGAACTTATACACAACACAAGGTTTCTTCTTTGAATGCAGGTGACTCCCTGAACGTCCAGCACGAGCCGGAGGAGACGATAAGGAAGGAGAAGAAGTCGGAAGCCCTGAATATCAGAGGTGGGGTTGCCCTTGGGCCGACTGGAAAGCCTTTCAGGGCTACACCTGGTCCCTTCTCTTTCTGTTTGCCTCTGAGCCAGTTAGAAAGTGGGCAGGCTGCGACCTGTAGACTCTGACCCGGCTCTTGCCTCATCCCCGCATCGATTGCGAGGGAGACACTCATCACTCACCATTGACCCTTGCTCACTGAGACCTGCCCCAGCGCTGCCTGCTCAAGAGCTTCACAGATGGGTGTCCCGCTCCCATTTCTCTTGGTTCTGCCCACCCGTGGGCGTTGCTAACCTACAATGCAGCCCATTTTCACTGAATGTCATTTTGATAAGGTAGGAAGTTAGTATGTGGACAGCTATTCCAGGTGGCATTGCTAAACGACCCTCATGGCCGTTCTGTGATGGGTCTTGTTGACTCACTTGAATCGCCACCTCCAGGTCCAAAGTGGGGGTTCTGGGGAGACACGTGGAAGGCACATCCCTAGCATTCCTCCTACCAAGAGCTCAAGGTCACAGTGTTGGGCCAAGGTCAGCCCTGGGGGTTCAGAGGTGCCTTTCTCACAGGGCACCAACATCTCTCCTTTCCAACTTTTCAGATAAGGACTTTGCTTTAGGTCAATGCCCAACCTTGATTTTGAGAATTTCAACAAAGACCATGCTACTACCTTTTACTTTCAGGTGGTTTGGGGAAGCCTAGGGCTTAGATGGAAATAACATGAAGAAAAATTAATAATCCAGGAAACGTTTGTATTTTTGAGAGTCTCACATCTGTTTTACAAAGGATGGAAAATAACAACATGTGAGCTCCTAAAAACTCTAAATGAATTAATTTTAGAAATGTAACTACATCACAGGGATTTTTTTAATATTATTTAGTTTTTATTTTGTCATGAAATTAACTAAGGGGAAGTTCTTAGAGTAGAACAGAATATGTAGACATTTCTAAATAATGAATTAACATTTTTAAGCTCTGTAGTCTTACACCCATAGAGTCAATCAATGATGATGAAGGCTTTAAGCTTATTCAATAGTTTTAGGGTTTGAAATGAGATATGACTTAGTGACACGATTTTTGTTCTGTACAATAGATAATCTGCTCTTCTCAGGATTTGGGAAAGTTTTTTTTTCAAGATCTTTAGTCCCTCACCCACTATTTTTATTATTTTTTAATTTTTAAAAATGTTATTTTTAAACTACAGTTTACATTCAATATTATTTCGTATTAGTTTCAGGTGGACAGCAGTGTGGTTAGACACATATACTTTAAAACAATAGGAGACTTTCTAAAGAGCGTGGTGGTGAGTCTTTTTGGAAAGAGAATCTGTAATAATAATAAAAAATCACTATCCTGCCCTAACCAGTTTGGCTCAGTGGATGGAGTGTTGGCCTGCGAGGGTCCCAGGTTCGATTCCATTCAAGGGCATGTACCTTGGTTTCGGGCACATCCCCAGTAGGGAGTGTGCAGGAGGCAGCTGATCGATGTTTCTCTCTCATTGATGTTTCTAACTCTCTATCCCTCTCCCTTCCTCTCTGTCAAAAATCAATAAAATATATTTTTAAAAAATCACTATCCTTTTACTTATCTTGCTTTTAGGTTCAGTTTAAAAAACAGATATGGTAGGTTTTTAAGATCGAGTTCGCCATCACATCACTTTAACTCCCCGAAATCAATAAAAATCTATTTAAAAAAAATTGAATCCATCCTGCCATTCTTACCCTAAAGAAAACAAATAGCCACGGATCTTCACAGACGTGGGACCCCAAGCCCGGAGTATCACGTGGCCCCTGAACTTGGACGTGTGCATTAGGGATCTTGCTTTCTTCCGGCAGGTGTGCTTCTGCACGTGATGGGCGACGCCCTGGGCTCGGTGGTGGTGGTGATCACGGCCACCATCTTCTATGTGCTGCCCCTGGACCAGAATGCTGACTGCAACTGGCAATGCTACATTGACCCCAGCCTGACCGTCGTCATGGTGATCATCATTTTGTCGTCTGCCTTCCCGCTCATCAAGGAGACCGCCATCATTCTGTTGCAGATGGTCCCCAAAGGGGTCAACGTGGAGGAGCTGAGTAAGTCAGGCGGGTCTGATCTGGAACCACTGTCCACTTCCTGTTCTCCAGGCCAAAGGGCCCGCGTTATTTCAGAGCCTCAATTATCCCTATCAGCGGTAGAGACAGCCCTCATCCCTTGGAGCTTCGTGAGATGAGTCACAGCTCCAGGAACCAAAGGTCCTTTGCAGCTTATGATTCTGTGACTCACCCGCACGTTTTTTTTTTAAATATATTTTTTTATTGATTTTAGAGAGAAAGGGAGAGGGAGAGGTTGCTAAAACATCAATGATGAGAAAGAATCATTGATCCGCTGCCTCCTGCAGGATCGGGGATCGAGCCCACACCCCAGGCCTGTGCCCTGACCAGGGAATTGAACCGTGACCTCCTGGTTCATAGGTCGACGCTCAACCACTGAGCCACACCAGCTGGGTTGACCTGCACATTTTTTAAGAATGTAGTGCTCAGGCAATTCCTGTTCCTGGGCTACTTACCTTCATGTCAAGGATTTATTTTCATCCAAATAAGGTGAACTCCATTTTTATTCTCCCCATTCTGAAACCATGAATCTCTTGTGTTCTAGATCCTGCTTTCAGGTTAATTGATTAAAAAAAAATTTTTTTTTAATTGACTTTTAGAGAGAGAGGAGGGGTGAAGGAGAGAAACATTGTTGTGAAAGAGAAGCATTGCTCAGCTGCCTCCTGAACTACTGGGGATTGATGCCTGCAAACCAGGCACATGTCCTGACCTGGCTCAGTTGCCTCCTGAACGCCCCCTACTGGGGATCGATGCCTGCAAACCAGGCACATGTCCTGACCTGGAATCAAACTGGCAACCTTTTGGTACATGAGACAACACCATCCCCTGAGCCACACTGGGTGGTTTTTCTTGTTCTTAAACTTATTTTCTTGAATTGCCTTTTATGGCCTAAAAATATTTGGTAGAGGAATTCCAAGAGGAGAAAGAAGATGATGGGGCCATGTCCTTGTATAGCTGAGTAGTAGGTGAGGCTATTTTTCTTCCTGTTATTCTTTGTGAATACATCATTTTGGTGAGAATGCTTCAAGGGACCCCCCCTCTCCCCCCCCGCCCCCGAAGTACTTCCATGTCTCCGTTCTAGCTCTCACCTGGGCTGTCGCTTGCTCTTCCCTTTCCTAGTGAGTAAGCTCGCGGCCGTGCCGGACATCAGCAGCGTTCATGAACTGCATATCTGGGAACTTATAAGTGGGAAGATCATTGCCACCCTGCACATCAAGTACCAGAAGGACAGGGGGTATCAGGACGCCAGTCTGAAAATTCGAGAAATCTTCCACAGGGCGGGAATCCACAGCGTGACCATCCAGTTTGAGGCCGTGGACTCGCCGGAGTCCCTGGAGCAGAAGGACACACTGTCACTCTGCAGCTCCCCCTGCATCTCCAAGAGCTGTGCCAAGCACCTGTGCTGTCCCCCCCGGGCACTGCCCCTGGCCCACGTCAATGGCTGTGCCGAGCACAACGGCTCTCCCCGCCTAGACATGTACCAAAGCCAAGGCCTCGGTAGACCAGAACTCTCGGAAGTGGCGATTGAAGTACCTCTGGATGGCCGCGTGAGTGACCATGGACAAGCTTTCACCAAAACTCAGGGGGACCAATGTTATGTCAACAGCACACATTTTTAACCCAGTCCCCGCATAAGCAGACTGTATAGACGAGGCACTTTGGACCTACAGCTTGGCTTGTGGGAGTCAGTGTAGGCCCTGACCAAACCCACGGTGGACACTCTGTGGTCAGTGAGGGGTTGGCAGTGTGGGGTGTTCATTGACCGTGTCTGTGAATTTTTACGGGACTGACAGGGTAACCCATTGCCTGGTCCTGGAGGTCTCATGCTGCTCTTCAAGAGTGTTCGTTTGCTCCTTGATTTTTCTGAAGCAAACTGCACTGGTGTGTGTATGTCAGGGGCCCTGAAGGCGGGGACTCAGTGATTGTGGACACGGGACTCAAAGTAGTTTTTGTTTGACACCCATTAGAGCTTCCAGCTGACCCTCCGGTGAGCTCATTGCCAAGTATATCGCACAAACTTAGGAGCCATAATGGCTGTTTTTTTGTTTGTTTGTTTTTTCCCATTCCACTGGAAGATTATAAAAGAGGAAGAATAGTCTTGCCACTGCAGCAATTTTTTTTCTTTGGCTTATTTTTGAATGAATGTAAAATGGAGACCTATTAAGGAAGAGACCACTTTCAGAACAGGAGAAAAAGTGGAGTTTATGGGGGAGAGCGGGGAGAGAGCAGGAAGAAAATGCTATTGGGCCATTTCATTTTGTGAGGTGGAAAGAAAATGAATGTTTACTTTCTGCTGTGAACTGGGCGTTTCAAATGTTTAAATATATAAACTATTTTTCTTTTTTTCACTTGGAAATATAGGAATATTTCTACTTAAATATGACACAAGTACTTTCATACTATCTTTGAGATTCAGTCCATGGGGACTGTTTTCATTTATTTGCTTAATAATGACTTACTTATTTGTCCAAATTTCCTTTGAGTCTTTTTTTTTTTTTAATATACGATCACATTAATCTATGAGGCATTTACCAGGAGAAAAATGAGCATTTCTGGGTAGAAGAATATATAATATTCTGTACTCATTCCTGTACCCGAATTAAGCTAGGTTGATTTTTCTTTAATGAGACATATTTAAAAATATTTATTACAATTGCCAACTAGTAACTTAATGGAAAAATATATGGAAATGAGAAGGAATTCCATCGCTGACTTTACCAAATGTGTTTTGAGGAACTTAAACTTTCATGTGTCTGACCCGTGTTACCAAGTTCAGATACATTTATTAGACTCTGATTCGGATCCATAACCAATATACCTGGATTAGTATTGGAGAAGCATCTGCCATGCATTTAACACACAGTCCAGAGAGAATCCTTTCATCAGAACCGACTCAAAATAGGTGTGAGAAAATGGGAGGTACCTCACCAGAGAACTAGAACCTTCTTTGATGGGCTGCAAAGTTGACTGAAAATGATTCCCTCTTAGGCCCTACGCATTGAGTCCTGCACAGTATTTAACAGAAAAAGCACTCACATTTCCCAGCACAAACATCACCAAAAAAATAAAAAATAAATAAATAAAATTCTAAGGCTAAAATAAGTAAGCATCTATCCTCAGTAGGATAAGAATAGTTTTATTCCTTGAAAATCTATTATCTGAGTTTAAATTGGCCATGAGTTAGGTAAATTAGGAAAATACCTAAATATGTTTTATCTCCAGGAGTTTATTGGACTAGGCTATATATATGCTTATTGCTAAAATATATGACATCATTTTATTTTTAATATTAAAAGTGTGGCAGGTACTCGCACAAAACAGGGGCTTTTGAAACTCACCATGGTGATGCATGGACCCAGTTCTCCTGGATAAATGTTATTTGAAAGGCCTTCCGGAGCCAGAGAAGAAATTTGTCTCTTCCTCCCCAATGTGAAGGTCGAATTTGATTTCAGGTTGCTCTGCTTTTATTAAAAGGGAACAATGATAATTTTCTAACTTTGGTGCTACTGGCTACAGGGATGCATATCTATTTTCTGGAATTATTGCACTTAATTCCAATATCATGAAGTCTGACCTCAGAAAAGTATCTAATGAACATAGCAAATGATGCAGTAGAGCCGATGTGACATAATCCCATGGTAAGACATCTTCACTGAGTGCATTTAATAATGTCCAAGCGAGCGAAGCAAGTGCAATGTTTTCTTCTTTTTTTAAAAATATATTTTATTGATTTTTTACAGAGAGGAAGGGAGAGAGCTAGAGAATTAGAAACATCGATGAGAGAGAAACATCAATCAGCTGCCTCCTGCACACCCGCTACTGGGGATGTGCCCGCAACCAAGGTACATGCCCTTGGCTGGAATCGAACTTGGGACCCTTCAGTCGGCAGGCCGATGCTGTACCACTGAGCCAAACCGGTTAGGGCAAGTGCAATGTTCTTGTGATGGGTTCGGTGCTTTACTTACCAGCTCAGGCCCTGTGGTGCCTGCCTTTAGTTGTCCTGCATTTTAATTCTCTCCAGGAAATGCCAAGGGCTTCTTTCTCCCTTTGAAACGGCCCTGCTTGGTGGCAGTAGCAGCTGATAAACAGTGGATTTAAACAACTCTGTTTTCATCTCTGAGACGAAAAAAAAAAATACTGTCACTCAGTTTAGTGTCCCTCTGTACTTAGGTGAATTCCAGAAAATTCTGTCTCCCTTCTATTCAGAACTGGAAATGATTTTCTAAAAAGCCTAGAGCAATGTCATCCCTGCATGCTAGCCTGGAGGATGCAGGGACGACATTTTGCGTTGCTCCTCTGTCCTCCTATTTCTCCAAAAAGAGTCCTTTCCACAGAATTCCAGCACGGCTGCAGGAAGTACTACATCCACTTTTATTTGCCAACTTTCCATTTGTGTTTGAAAATAGAGCTTAATTTTTTTTTTCATGATAATTGGCCATCATGAATATCCATAGAGCGACCAGGCTCCATTGCTGATGGAAAAAAAAGGTGTTATCCCTCTATTTTTTTTTTATAAAATATTAATAAAATAGAGAAACATTGTTTGAAGAGCAATTAAAGATAGTCTCTATATTCAGTTATTTTATTTTATTTTATTTTTGGCACCAGCTAACTGAATTCTAGTTGGAGTAAATCAGAACTTCAGGAGGAATGGGTGCTTTGAACATCAAAGAATTTACTGAGGTCGATTGTGGATTATAAGACAGCAGCTGCCCTGTGAGGTAGTAAGGGCTTTGGCTCTGCTTTATCAGTCTAGGCTTTGCTGAACTGTTGGCCTGGCTGATTCCTTGTTGTGTGCTGCTATCTTGTGCATTGCAGAATTTTAGCAACTTCCCTGGCCTCACCCATAACATGATAGTATCACCCACTCCCCACCCCCATTGGACAACCAACAATGTCTCCAGACATAGCCACACGTCTCCTGGGGGACAAAATGACCCTCATTATT